TCAAAAAAATAAAAATAAAATAAAGTATGGCCAGGACTCTGCAAATGCAAATCTGCTTTAGTCTTAAAGTATAGTTTTGTCCTCCAAGAACCGCTGCTTTGATAAGTCTCGCAGGTGCTCTAAGGCTTTTTTTTTTTTTTTTTTTTGTTCAATCGCCATGACTCTCCAAATGCAAATCTCGCTTAGTATAAAAGTTTAGTTTTTTTTGCTCCAAGAACATGTATAATTTTTAGCGTTATGGCATAGACTACAGGGTGTGTTTAGATTTCAATTAGAAAAAAATTAATTATAAAAATTAATTAATAGACATGGTAATGTTTAGATAATATTTTATTTTGCAAAATTGAATTATCAAATGATCGTCAAAATCAATTTCTAAAAATATTATCAAAACATTATCACATTTTGTTGATCAATTTTTTTATAATAATTTTTGTTAATTAAAATTCAAACCCACCTTATAAAAAAAAAGTCCTAAACCAATATATGATTTCCAGAAAATTAGACATTATATTATGTCGCCAGTGGCTGCTATCCCAAATTCAACGGCAAGGATCAAGATTCAGGGACAGATGTGGCCCGAAAAAAAGTAAATGGTACATACGTCATACATTCTTTTTAATTATTATTATTATTATTATTATTGATTACTCTCCATTCTCAATGAGATAATGTTCATTAATTGCCTTGCTAGGTTAACGGGGAAAAAAAAATTATACTCCCTTCATCTTAAATTATAATATATTTTTAAATAAAATTTTACATATTAATAAACTTTATTAAATATATTTAATAATTTTATCTTTTTAAAATAAAAATATAATTTTTTTAAAATACTCATCATTGAATACATTGAAAAGAAAAGGGGTGAAAATTAATTATAAAAAAATAATATTAGAATTAGTATATTTAATAAAACATTAATTTACTCAAAGTGTCTTATATTTTAAGAAAAAAAAAACTTCTTTTAAAATGCCTTATAATTTAGGATGGAGGAAGTATATAAGTCTCAGTAAGTTGGCTTATTTACAAATGAATACTGTAAAAATTTAAAGACCACAACTAAATCTTTTGAGATTTGAGTGTAATTTAAAATAAAATAAAAATAATAATACTCCTATTAGACATATATGCATTACAGCAATCATAAGTTACAACTATTTTATCAATAATTTATAACTATAACTTTAATTTTTTACAATTATAACTCCATATGTCTAATAATTAAACCAATTATTTTAACTATTAGAGTTATAATTATAAAAATTTGAAGTTATATTTGTAAAGTATTGAATTAGTTGTAAACAATCGGAGTAAATGTTAAATTTGATTAGTAATACATGATTGTTTAATTGTCAAATATGTAAAGTTACAGTTATAAAAAATTAAAATTATAGTTATAAATTACTAATGAAATAGTTATAAATTAATTATTTAATTAATGTAATGTATATTTAACAGAGGTATTATTATCTTTGCAACTTAATTTTAAATTACACTAGGTCTCAAAGGATTTAGCTGTGATTTTTTATTTTCGAGAGACTTGTTTGTGAATCAACCTGTTCTATGAGAATATATGTAATTTTTTTAATAAAAAAAATCATTAGTTGCCTCTAACACCCAACTTTTCTTTTATTTCATATTCTTTTATATCCTTAACATGCCATTCATGAAGACCACATCATGTATCATTGCCTTATTTATGAATAATTTTTAAAACAATTCATAAGAACATATCTATGAAAGAGTAAAATGTAAATTACCTTAAAAAAAGTAACTTTCTAGTAAAAGTAATTTGAGTGAAAGTTTATACTAAAAAAAACAAAAGAAAACTTTAACCAACTATTGGCTTTTTTTTGAATAAAAGGTCATAGGAAAATCGTGCTATGTGATATGATGTATCATATCAGCGTACAAGAAATTTATACAACAAGAGGTAAAGTATCAAAAATATGAACTCTAGAACTTTCGATAAGAGCTTGGTGAGCCAAGCAATCCGCATATTTATTTGCTTCTTGAAAAACATGATCAAAAGTAACTATTCAATCTCTCATAATAAGATCTTTAATTTTGTTGATAGTTGCAGGAAGGGGATGATTTGTAAAGAACTCACTATGCATTAATGCGAGAGCTTCTATAGAGTCAGAATAGACATTAACCTTATCAAGTTTTTTCACCCAGCAAATGTTAAGTCTTTCAAGATACCCATAAGCTCTGCTGCCGCACTTGTGTGGTATCCAAAGTATTTGAAAAAACTTTTAATCCAATTGCCTTTTCCATCTTGAATTAGGTCACCGCATGAAGTTACACCTTGATTATTGGTGAGCCATCTATGTCAGGTCTGACCTATTCGTCTTCAGGAGATAACCACTTTGCTTTAGATCTATTGCTCTGTTGAGTTAAGAAGTTGATTTTTGATTGGAGGAGTTGATCACTGAGAATATCCTGGATGCTAATGAATACAATGTCTTTGTTAGGAGTATCTTCCTCAAAATATATGATTTTACATCTTTCTTTCCATATGTTCTAGCACACATAAGAGAAAAGTATTTGCCAGGAGATCTTTCTAGCACAAGGTTTGCCCGCATCATTCTTTACATTTCAAAGTATCCATTCATGAAAAAGGGAGAGAGAAGAAAGTGTTAAGTTTAAATTGTTTAATTAAATTTCTCCAAACCTCTATTGATTTCTCACAATCTCTAAGGATATGAACAGTTGAGTCTAATGTGTTACAACTAAAGGGGCAAGTCCTAAGGCAGGGACTGTCACTATTAAAATAGGTGAATTTATATTGAAGACGATTCTAAGCTACTTCTCAAAAGAAACATTTAATCTTTTCATGTGTTGGCCACTTCCAAATCACGAACTAAATTTTAGATCTAGAAGTGTCACAATGATTATTAATGGTCTTGTTAGCAAATTTAATGGTCAAATTGCCGTCATTGGAGGGCCTCCAACATAAAACATCATCATCAGCATTAGGATTAGGAGGTTGAACAATGGTGATTTGTTTAATGATGTTGTGGTGAATATATATGCGTAACTGTCCCACCTTTCAGCTATTTGTAGCAGTACAAAAATCACATGAAGAATGGAGTTAGCATTAGGGGAAGCATAATTAACCAAAGGCTCAGGTAGGAGATACCATTTGTCATACCAGAAAGATATTTAATTCCCCTTCCCTACCTTCCAGCCTACATGAGATATAAATTGATCCCAAACTTTGTAAATACTGGACCATATATAAGAACAAGAGTTAGATTTACAAATCATGGGAATGGTGGGGTTATTGCATTTATATTTGTCATGCAGAGCACAAACCCATAGACTATTTGGTTTCGTTATGATTCCCTGACAGAGCTTCATAATATAGGCCTTGTTCTGAGTTTTAAGATTTTTAAAGCCAAGGTCTCCATGATTTTTATCCCTGGTAATATAGTCCCAAGGTAAGAGATAGGGCTTTTTGGTTTCGTCTGTTGAATCCAAAAGGAAATTACGGGAGTAAGATTCCATTTCAGTTAGAATATTATCAAGAAGGAATATAGTCTATATAGTATAGTTAGGAATAGAAGAAAGGACAGACTTGATAATAACAACCTTTCCAGCAGTGTTAAGAAAATGACTCTTTCAATTGGAAAAAATGAGAGTTAATTTTATCAAGTAGAAGAGCGAAGGTGATTTAGAAACTCTATCATGAATAATAGGCATCCTTAAGTATTTGCTAAGGTTTCTAGTCAAGGGTATTCTCGTTCTTCACTAATTTGAATGACTCTATTGATATTAACATTCTTGGAACAAAATAGCTTGGATTAAGTATTGTTGACTTTTGTCCTGATGCATTGCAGAAATTAGCAAGACACCGTTATATAATCCTTGCTTGTTTGAGTGAAGATTCTGCTAAAAGAAACAAGTCTTCAATAAAAAATAGATGTGAGATAGGGGGATCCATTAGTTGTTAGGCTAATGGATTTCCATTCATTTTTATCAATGCTACTATAGATGCCGTGACTTGAACGTTCGATACAAAGAACAAAGAGATAAGAAGAAAGATGATCTCTCTATCTAATGCCACGTGATGGTGAACTAGTTATTGGCTTTGTAACGGAAGATGTGGTAAATCCTCGATATGGTAACGCTGCAAGCAAAACCCTAAAGCAAGAGGTGGAGTTGGATTGGATGCTGAGAATGAAATGGGACTTATTGTTCAAACTTTAAAAATTACTCTTTCAATTCAAAAATATAAAATATTTTTTAAAAAGTTAGATATTAAAAAATGTAATGTATTTTTAATCTTTTAAGGTGTAATCATTTTTTTTTTTTCAAAAATACCCCTATTAATAGTGATAGTGACTTTATGTTTATCATAAAATATTTAATAGGGATAAATATGAAAAGATAAGGTTAGTTTAAAAGTAGGTAACTATTTTATTGAAGGGTGAAATTCAATTAAAAATGCTTTATATTTTTAAACAAAAAAAGTATTTTATACCTTTATTTTATATCTCTTAACATAAAAATAACAAAAAATTATAAAACAATTTATTAATTTTTTTAATTATTGATCTAATTTTAAGTGATGCAAGTCAATATTAAAATTTTTATAATTTTATATAGTGACTATTTAAATGTACTTGATACAGTCTGATTTTAATATCAAAATTTTATTATTATTTTTACAAATTTTTACTTTGAAAAATATAACATTAAAAATTAAAATATATAAAATTATCATTTTTAAAAAAATTATAAGTTAAAAATTTTAAATTTAAACCATGCAAAGTGTATATGAATAATTAATATATAAAAATTATAAAAATTTTGATATTGAATTACAAGCTCCAAATTAATTTTAAATCAGATTGATGATAACAAGATTTATAAATTTTTTTATAATATAAAATAAAAACAAAAATTAAAAATAATATTTTAAATGTGGACAGATTTCATGAGCATCTCACGAGCACTGCACGGAAGACGGAGAATGAAATCACACAAACAGAAACCCTGGAACATGCACGCAGAGTTGTGTCATTCGCATACAAAGGCTCATTGTTTACTTTTACAAAAAAAGGAGGAGAGGAAGAAAGGGGGGGGGGGGTCGTTATTTAATATTTACTTAGCATGATGCAAGGTAGTAATACTGTACAAGTATATTCTGAGCAGCTACTGTTCTGCGTCCTTCACCTTCTCAACAGCTACATGATCCTCATTTTCTGCTCCATTTATCTGACTTTCTATGTCTGCCTTTTTTCGGAGGAGGGCTTCTAATTTGGCATTAATTTTTTCCAGCTTTTGCTTTAGTTTGTTGACATCATTGATCTTACCCTTCACACCCACTTTTCTCTTCTTCCCGCATTTGTCCTTGTCTTCTTTTTTCTTCTCCTCCTTTTTGACTTGCTTCCCATCATCTTTTTCTCCATCTTCCCCCTCCTCCTCCTCCTCTTCACCTTCCTTCACAGTTTCTTTCACTTGAATCTCCCTCGCTGCATAATCACCCTTGCTATCCTGTTTATCCTCTTTATCTTCTGGTTTCTTCTCCTTCTTGGCCTTTTTCTTGCCCTCCTTCTCATCCTCTTCGCCCTCATCCTTCTTCTCCTTTTTCTTCTTATCCTTGTCCTTCTCCTCCTCCTCCTCCTCCTCACCATCCTCCCCACCATCATTTTCTCCTTCGTCCTTCTCAAAATCCACATCCTTCTTTTTCTTTCTCTCCTTATCCTTGTCCTTCTTCTTCTTCTTCTTCTTCTCTTCATCATCCTCACCTTCATTTTTTCCCTCGTCTTTCTCGAACTTTTCATCCTTGTGTTTCTTCTCCTCTTTCTTCTTATCCTCACTCTTCTTTTTCTTAATGGCTCCCTTATCCTCGCCTTCATTATCTTTTCCCTTCTCCTCTATCCTGTCTGTTTCTTCATCCTTGTCCTTCTTTTCCTTTTTCTTCTCCTTGTCATTCTTATCTTTATCCTTCTTTTTCTTCTTGTCTATACCATCGTCACATTTATTGTCCTCTCCCTTCTCCTTCTCTCTGTATTTTTCTTCGACCTTCTTTTCCTTTTCCTTCTTCTCCTTCTTGATCTCTTCACCATCCTCATCTTCGTCTTCTCTACCCTTATCTTTCTCCGCGTCAATTTCTTCATCTTTTTCCTTCTTTTCTTTTTTCTTCTTGTCCTTATTCTTTTTCTTCTCTTCACCACCACCACCACCATCTTCCCCCTCCTCCTCTTTATCTTTATTTTTTTTCTTCAATTTCTCTCCATCCTTATGTTTGTTCTTCACCTCAAGTTTTATCTCACTCTTCTCTTGCTCCGCCCCACCTGGGCTTTTATCCTCGGTCTTGGCTTCAACAGGTATTGTAGTTTTGTCATCCATGTCTAGATTATCTACAATGCTGATGTAAAATACCTTTTCGGTTGAATCTGGAAGGTCCCTGAAACATGTGAGCCAGTAAGGAAGCAAAACCGTTAATTTTTGCATGATGAGCCTAAAAAACTACAAGCAACAAATTAGATAAAAATGGCATACTAAGTTAATGAAGGATTAAAAAGCTATATAAGAAGCCAAGGCAAGAACAAATGGTAATCGATCAATTCAAATTCTTCTATAATGTTAACTAGGCTAAGAGCAGGCAGTGTGAATCATTGACCAGCCCATTTGGCCTCATTTGGATTTGTCGGTCCGTTGAGTTTCAGAGATTTTGGCTCAAGCTCAGACAATTAAGAGGAAAACGGATTATATGTAATCGGTATGAACGTTGGATACATCAGTTGTAGTTTGACAAATAAATCTTTGTTATACTTAAAGGCATTTGAAGGGCGACGGGAAAGACAGAGAGAGAGTGAGCACTTGCTTAACATGACGCTCATTTTGCAGAACAGAAAAGTGCAGAATACACCCTGCCGCAAATCATACAAAATAAATATACATGGTCAGTTCTCGAAGTTAGCTTCAGTTGATCAAAACTAAGTTGCGACTCTAGGATGAGCCAATGAATCGTTTTATGGCTAGTATTAGACCAAATCCATCCCCGACCATAACTGAATCAAACAAAGCAGAATAAAGGTTTCGACTACAAATCAAAACGGCAAGAAGAACTCCCAGCATAAAATCCTAATTAAATAACTTTTTCTTTTGGGTCGAAACGCGACTCAGCCTCAGTGGACTGACAACTAATTTCCGAACCGATTCAGCTTGATAAGATGCATCAAAAGAAAATGAATGCGTAAATTTGGATTCGACCAAAACATTTCCGAGCTATCGAATTCAATTTTAGACATGGAGACACGGATCAAAGGATGGAAAACGCGATCAGGCAATCAAAGTTATAAAAAGCCAAAAGATCAGATCACAGTTAAATCAAATGAAAAATCTGAAGGGAAAGATAGAAAAGGTACCGGTGCTGATGGCAGGCTCTGGATAATCGGATGCAAAGAAATGAAGAGCAGCTGGAGAGAAGCAAAGAATCAGGAATCTGGTAGATTTCCAGGATGGATGAGTCGGTGTTGCGGTTTTGTGGAATTTATAGAACTTTGATTTGACGTGTTGAGTGTAATTCCTAAGGAGTGCAGTCTTGCTGCGCTGTGACTGTTCGATCGGGATTTACGCGTCGTGAGCGTGGTGGGTGGCATTTCTCTTTTTTCTTCCCCCGCACCCGGTATCTGAATACATTAAATTCATTATCCGCCCAATTCATTTCAAATTAATTCATATCCCTATCAAGTGGGCCCAATTTGGGAGTGTGGTGAGCAGAGACATGTTTTACATGCTCAATTAGATGGTTGCATACCCTAAAATAAAAATAATTGTTTTTTGGCCAATCATTTTTTTAATACTGTTAAAATTTATTATAAAAGATTATAAAAAATAAATTTTGGATGAAAGATTAAGGGATGTGTAATTGACAATTATAACTTGAATACAAAATTTATCAATCTTAGAATTAATATGGGATACTATTTAAGTTACAAGAATATTCTTTTAGAAATAAAGTTGTGTATTTTTTTTAATTTCACAGTTTACATCTAATTCCACGGCTCTATTCAAGCATTAAGCTCCAATCTTATTTAATTTATTTCACTTGACATATTAGTAGTAGTGTGGTGTTGCTATTTTAGCACCCACTGTTTTGATTGGTCTAATAATGAGTCAGACTTTCAGTACTTTAAATGATAGTCTTATGTTGGTACATTACTAATACATACCTAGTTTGTTATTCCACTCATCTTAAATTATAAAACAATTTCAACTAAAATTAAGCATGTCAATAAAGTATAATAATAACACTTTACAAAATTACTCTTTTAAAATAAAATTATAAATTTTTAAAAATATTCATGCACGTTTTAGTATTACTCTCTTTAGTTTTAATTATCAGTTATATTCTAAAAAGTTTTCTTAATCTTTTATATAAGTTACTTTGCCTTTTTTTTTGTATCATTTGATGTACAATTTCAAAACTACCATCTAAGAAATTCTAAAAAGAAATGCATTATTTTAATTTTCCAAAAAACCCTTTCCTTATTCCAAATAACTCTTTTTTAAAATTCAAGGACAAGTTAGAAAAGTGATTTATTTTTAAGACAGGTTTATTATTCTAACTAATTTACATTGATTTTAAGTTTCTTGAAGCGTTCCTAACATTGATGCCATTTGTGAAATGACTATAATACCCCTTATTTAAAATAAAAAAATAGATATTTATTTTTTAATTTAAGTAATAATTACTTTTATTCTAACAATGACTAAAATAATATAGTAAAAAATAAGTTTTACTTATGATAATTATTAATTTTTTTAAAGTGGGGGTATTATGATCATTTCACAAAAAGACATTAATGCTAAAAAGTTCAAAGGAATTTCAAAGGAGTTATCATATTTTGCAAAATTCTATTGTCATTTGCATATTTTAAGGAAATTTTTTTTGTGGCCATCTTCCCATTATTTTTTATGGCATACTAGTATTTAGTACTCATATCAGAATGAATCAGTACAAAGAAACAGGAATATGAATGTGAAGGAAAAATGTTGGGAATATAATAATATAACTTTATTTGGTACTCTTTCTAGTTTCTATTTATAAGAAAAATTATTACTATTTTTTACTTTTTTTATAGAAGTAAAGTTATTTATTTTAATAAGCATTTATTATAAAATTTTTAAATCACTCCTCACAATTTACCTTAATGAAAAATAATTAACGTATACTTGTGTTGATTAATATAAAATATTTTAGTATAGTTTTTTTATTTTAAACATAATTATTATGATTAATCAACTTTCTTAAACTATATAATACAGTTTTTTATATGCATATAAAAACAGAGGGAGTATATTATAGATAGGATCAAGAATTCAAGATAGAAATGTTTTAATATTTCAATAAAGATAAATTTAAATGACCAAACTTTCCTTCGCATAAAAAACTGGAAAATAAACTGATGGAAAAATTGGGGGTTTGAAAATAAAACAGGGGTAAATCAGATATTTTGTAGTTTTGCTAAAGTCCACACTCCACGCCTTGACAATGGAGTGACAATGCTTTGTTATTGGTTTGTTAATCAAAGGAGATAATTTTGTCACGAAAATGATGTCACTAGAATTCTAGAAACATCAAGCCAAAAAATAAAAAAAAAATAGAGAGAGAGAATTCTAGAAACGGAGGAGCTCCTCAGCATATAACTCGGGCCATGCCCAACCCGATTCAAATTTGATCAAAATATCTAAATAAATAAATTATATTTTTTAAAAAATAAATAAAATAAAATAAATATTAATTTTTGTTTTAATTTTAGATCATTTTATATTAAAATATTACATATTCAAGTGCATTACTATAGATATTTTTAAAAAAATTTAAAATATTTTATTGTCAAATTTTTATTATTTTTTATTTATAAAATATTTCAAAATAATATTTAAATTATATTTTAATATTAGTTTTCAGATTTTAAGATTCATATATTTTTTTAAGTTTTATATAAGTATCAAAAAATATATTTTACATTTTTATAAAATAAAATAATTAATTAAAATTATTTTTAAAAATAAAATTTGGATATTTTAACAATTAAAACTCGAAAGAACTAAGACAAACCTTGACAATTCAAGTTTTTTTGGGAATTGTGTCTGTTCGGGTCGGACTCAAGTTTGGCTGTAAAAAGGAAAAAAAAAAAAAAACACGCAGAACGAATGAAAGGAAGAGTGATGACTACAACATGAAGAATTACAAAGCTGGCCAGTGAGGAATTGTCAAAAGAAATTCTTGAAGTTGTGACGCGATAGGCGGAAGTTTGTTGGCAAGATATGGCAGTAGACCTCCGTGAATGCTGGTGACATGTCCCCCCCCCCCCTTCTTTCTTGCCAGCTCAGGTGATTTGCTTTCATTTTATTTTTTTAATATAAGTGAAGACAAAGCCCTGGAACAGAGAAAAAGGAGTTTTTTGAGTGGAAAGGAAAAATTCATTAATTAAATCTGGACAGGAATAAAATGAAAAAAAGCCAATTACTTGAAAACTTAGAGCTTATTTAAATACTTTTTTAAAATTAATTTTAAGTTTACAATTATAATTTTAAAAACTTTTATCCAAACACCCTAATTTCTTTAAATTCTATTTAGTTTTCAAAACTTTATTTAGAATAAGTTAAAATTTATTCTATTTTAAAAAATCAATATCATAATTAATTATAAAAATTTATTCAAACACCATTATATTTTAACAATCAATTTTTTTAATTAATTTTTTTAATTAAAATCTAAATACACCCTTAAAAATTGAAAAGACTTTAAGGGTATGATCAATTATAATCCTAATATGTATAAGAAAAGTATCCACAAAAATATTGTTCGCCAGCAAAAATTATGGTTACGTGCTTTTCATAATTTTCAGCATAGAATGCTGATTTTCACTTCCCAAGAAATGTCCATTCGTCTGGATTGAAGGATGCCGCACAGCCGTGATTGAATGGAATCCTTGCAAAATTCAGCGTACATGTCAGCTGGGAGAATCTTCTTCAACACCGAGGCTGCAAATGAGCAGTGCTTAAAGGCATGATTAACTGGCACGCAGTCAGAAGATTTTATTAGGAAAGTCAAAATAATAAAGTATATATGTTATTGAAAACAAATTAAATTCATATATATAGTTAATATACTATAAATATCTCAATGTGTATATATGTTATAAAAATATATGCTTTTATATTTAAGTTTTTTTTATCAATTTTTTATAATATAAGAATAATTAATTATTATATTTATGATAAAAATTTTAAAAATTTTCTTTTCAATATATATTATTATTAAATTGACGTACATTTCATTTTTTCCGTAAGTATTGAATAATTTAAATGTATCATTAAAATTTAAAATTATGTTTAATCTAAAAAACTATATTACTTGATCACTAAATTTATTATTTAATTCTTTCAATTGATAATTATAATGAATAAATATATCAACAAGGTAATGATGTTCAATTATCACAAATTCTTTATGTCAATCAAAGATAAGTATATCATAGTAAATACTATTTATAATAATTGTCATAATTTTTTTATTAAATATAAAGTAAAAGCAAAATTAAATGATTTGACATTAATGTTTTGAGAGAAGCTATAATATTATTTTATTAAAAATAAATAGATTTTATGACAATATAATCTTTATGCTAGTAAAATGTACACATGCGTAAAGGACTGTTACTTAAAATGAGAATTTTATTTAATATTTTAAAATTTCTATAATGTTTTAGCTTGGAGGGATGAAATACATAACCTTTGAATTTTACTAAGAAAAATCTGAAAAGTTAGAGGGCGTGGCCTCTATTGGTCTCTTGTCTTCACCCTTGTTAATATTTTTTTAATTTTTTTATAAATCATTTCTATCAATCTTATCAATATTAATAAAAAAATATAAAAAATAAAAGTGTGTAGAATTTTAAACATGTCTCTATATAATAAATTTTAAAAATAATATCATATTATTTTTTTAATAATTTTAAAAATATTTTTTAAATATTATTTAAAAAATAGCATCATAATTTATAAAGCAGATTAAATAAACTCCTTAGAATGTATCTTGTAAATTGAAATCAGAGTAAATATCATCACAGGACCCTTACACCGAGAACATTGCATATCATCAGTAATCTTTCCCCGTGCTCGTTCAGGGTCGGTCAGAAGTCTGCCTTTGAGTAGTAATTAGAGAAAAGTCCCTAGTCTGATAACCTACATGAGTTCTCTTTGGTTTTTTTTTTTTTTTTTAATACCCAGGGAGATACCCCTCTCAATGATTTTTTTATAAGTCATGCCCAGAGTTGTTTTCACCAGCTAATCAGCATATTAAACCAACCTGAACAGCTAAATAAATAGAAGAGATTGTCCAAGGTGAAAAATTGACTGTACAAAATAATTAGTTTAAACAAAGAATCAATTTTTATCCAGTTAAAAAATTCTCACGCATTTGAACTTTAAGCCAAGACTGACGTCAGATAACAAGTCAATTCAGTTAGCAATCGATTTTGATTAAATAACACTGCATTAAATTCTCTTGATTTTTTTTTTGGACAAAAAATTCTCTTGATTTAAGAACGCTAAATCTTCTCCAAATTTAATGAATTAAAA